GCCCCAGGGTGGCAGGCAGCAGCCTCCCAGGCACCCACTGGCCATTGCTGTCCCCCAAGGCAGCATTGCAGGGGGCTGCAGGAGGGCAAGGTGGAGTGCCAGGCCTCCTGGCATTGCTGGAGTGTCCAAGGGGTTTGTGCAAAACTGTGCTGCCCCACAGCAGCGCTATGTGAAACAGGAGTTGAGAGGTTAAAAATTCCATTTGCTGGGTGAAACAGTAACTAGAAATGTAGCTCTGTGGTATCTCAGATCTGCTGCAAAGTCACCAGCTGAGCCCAAATCCTTGTCCTTAAAAGGCTCTTGATGTGCTACGTTGCTTTCCCTCCCACGTCCTCCCTGAAACTGAACTCCCAGCTAAGCTGTCTGGGTCACAGACACACACACGCACATGCATATGCATGCACACAAGCATACACACATGCACATATGCATGCACACACACCCACACACACACATGCACATGCAGCACCACGCGGAGACCCTGGCTGGAGCGCCCTGGCCTTGCACCTATCCAGTTTCTCCCAGGAGCTTGAATTTCCCTGCACAGCAATGGGAAGCTGAGCTGACCCCAGCTCCAGGGCACCTCTGAGACGAACTCTGAGGGCCAGCCTTGGGGCACGCACCCAGGGACAAATCCCCTGGGACATTTCAGCAACCCCTGCAGTTTTTTAGTTGGAGAGGGCACACGAGGCTGCAGGGAGTCCCAGACCTTTGCACACCGACCTCAGGATTGTGTTGCTCGTGTTTTCATGGTTCTTTGGTTCTGTACATCAAACAGGGAAACCTAAACCAAGATACAAATCGCTTCTAACAGCATATAGGCTTGAACACGCAGAGGAGCATAGCAATCCAGAGGCCCTGGTCCTCCCCCACCACCTCCAAATTTCAGCAGCAATCACTATTTAAGATTGGACATGTGCTCTGCAAAATGGCTGCTGGTCTCACAGTGGTCTGAATTGAAAAACAGCCTGTGACAACAACATTTCAGTCATACAGAGTATGTGAGTTTGTACGTGAGACCCCCTCCGGCCCCATTGTGTGGGCCACCACAGGTCACAGGGTGACCTCCCAAGCCGTCCAGCCTCTCAGAGCTGGGGATCCCCTTCCTCTCTGCCCACCCCCCCTTCCCTGCTCAGAGCCGAAAGCCACAGGAATGGTTCTGCCTGTACCCCAGCCCAGTGTTGCTGCCCCTCTGCAGTGTTTGCTGGGCAGATGTATGTTAGTAATGCAGCACAAGCCATCGGAGGGGGGTTTCTTTGGGGTACAATATGTCACTGAAAAGACTTACCTGCAGCACTGCTCTTCTGGTGTTTTTTTGCCCCCTCTCTCCTTCCAGAGGTGTTAACAGCACACTGCTGTTGATGCCTAACATGATGCCCCTCCCTGTCTCACAAGGCTGTGGTTATCCAGTGACTTCTGTACTCCCCTCGCCATAGTTTTTCCTATATAGCAGCACCAAGGGAAGCTAATGGGCTCAGGTAATTTTGCCTCATAGAGCAGAGAATTATGACAAACCATAACACGCTTGAATCAAAATGACAGACCATGAAGTAATGTTTTTTCACTTTGCACTGCCTGCCCTGCCTGACACAACTATCAGCCAAGCTGCCTGCCACAGTGATTATTTCACCCACCACAATGGAAATCTTTATTGGACACAGCAAAGTCTTTGGTGTTAAAATCCAGCCTGCCTCGGAGATGAGCAGGATTTAGCTGGAGCTCAGCCTGCACAGTAGCCCCAGCCACCCGCTGCTTTGCCCAGGAGCTCATCACCTCAAACCACGCCATGTGCTTTTCCTGGTCAAGGGGAAGAAAAACAAAACAAAAAAAAAAGTGGGTTATTTTCAGCACAGATCACCTGCTGTGCAAATATACAGCCCTGCCTACAAAGCACAGCCTGGAAAATGCTGAAAGCAGAGAGACAAAAGCAGTACCAAGGTGAAAAGCCAGCCATTTTCAGCCCCTCTCTCTAAGAGTTACTGTCTGAAACTATTGACTGGCACCTCCACCATCCTCGGTGGATTTGCCAGCACCATGGTTAAGTGGCCAGTACGCACACCTTTGTTCAGAGTGCCCAGGCAGCAGCTCACTGATCTGTCAGCTGGTCCATCCTAGGGAAGGACGACAGGCGTTACCGGGCTACCAGAGCCACCTCCCAGAACTGCCACCTCTTTGATCCTCCACCTCATCATCAGAGACAGGCTTCGCTGAACCTGTTGTCACCATCCACACCCGATTCCCCACTGGAGAAGGACGATCGCAGCAGTGCCTGCAGCAGGGACAAGCCCCCCAGCTTCACAGGGTGTCCTCCATTTCTCTTTTGGGTGTGAACAAAACCCTTGGAGTTAAACAGCCAGGAGCTGCAGGTGCTGTCACACCTACATCCAAATGTTTTCTCCTGGATCCCACCTCAGACTTGGTAATTTGGTAAAGGTGGCGGTGGCAGGTGGGGCAGGAGGTGGCAGTGCTCCTGGGCTGCGCCATCTGTCCTCGGGCTGGCTGAAGAGAAAACAGAGTGAGAAGTTGTCTTCCCAGAGGTTGTCTTTACACCAGAGTGAATTTTGGATGCATCCACAAATGGGAGTGAGGGTTTAAACCACATCGCATACTGTGCAGTAGGAAAAAAATCACAGTTGAGTGCAGGTAGGCTTTGTAGGAACTACTTATTATCAGATATAAAAATGTGGGTATGTAATCAAAGGAAATAAGAAGTTTTCCGTATCAATCACAAACAATACGCCAGGCTGTCTGTCAGGTCTTATTCTCTAGGGTGATAAGACACTGCAAAGGACTTGAGATATTCTCAGATAAATCACTATCTCCAGTGTTTCAAATACATGTTCTTCAAATTTTTCTTCCATCAAAACTTTTGTCTGACAGTTTTACAACTCCGGCTTCTTCTCTGCTGTAGGGAGGTTTCCATCAGTCTGCTGGAAGGGGAAGCCTTGCTTTGCCAAAACACTCGAGCAGGTGCTGAACTTTACACATTTGAATAGGTCTGCCAAAATCAAAAGGCCCCACTGCCCAGCTCTGGTGGACTGGGCCTTCATTAAGTCATAGGAGCTGCACTGATGGGTGATATAAACATGGCAGCACCCAGCCCTGCTCCCGCACCACTGTTGGTGTGTCTGAAGTGGTTCCTCAGAAAATGAGCAGCCATGACCACCATGTGCAGTGTATGCCCATGTCTGTGTTAACAGGATGAGCTCTGACCTTGGAAAAAATCCTAGCTACAACTTTCATGCTTTCTCTGCCACCGTGATTTCTGTTCATACTGTATACTCTTAAGGGTCTCAGCTTTTGCATTGCAAACTCCTGGAGGCAGCAAGGCTTTCTAACTTTGGCTGCAAATATTTGCATACATGCTGAGCTGCAAGAGACTTTCTCCACCATTTATCTCTTACTTAACACAGTTCTGTTCTGCTCATTTTTTCTCACTTCTCCTCCAAAGGAAAAGTGAGAGAGTCAGCCACAACATGCCTGCAAGTGGTGTGAGACATAAATCCATAACCACCCCTTCTCCCCACACCTTCTATGGTTTTAGATAATTAGCTGAAGAAATATTTCCTTGATAAGGCTACACCCAAGGAGAGGAGTGCATGAAGACTTGTAACTAGAACTGGGGAGAATTATTTTTGAGAAATGTTTTATTTTCCTGGGGGAAAATAGTGGTTCTTTGGTTGTTGCAAAACAATGCTCTAGTTGGGGTTGAGTTTCTCAGGTAGTTTTAACCAGCTATGGGCATTCAGGGCTTGTTTTATGCAAGCCATGGCCAAGCAGGGAGCAGCTGGGACCTCAGTGAAGCCATCAGGGAGGCAGAGGAGGGGACATGGGAGGTCTAGTTCCCGCTTTCCACCTCCAACTGGGAGAGCAACATACTCCTCCTATCCTTGTTTCTTAATTTCTTTGTCTTGGCCAGGTTTTATGCCATGAACAGCTCGTGCAGGAAGTGCTGAGACCTACTTCAGAGTTACCAAATGACTTGGGGAGATCCTGAGTCAAATCTTTGCTTTCAGCATGAAGAATGGCAGGGAGCAATGTGAGCTCAAGTGCCCTTTCCTCTGAAGCATGTCTCCCAGACATCAAACTAGAAAGAAATCCCGAAAGACTATATTTGTCTACTTGGGTCATTTGGAAGAAAAAGGCTTAGCAAAAACCCAATTCCCTACCCCAGCAGAGGCATGGCGGGGCAGCATTTCGGTGCCGCTATGGGCAACTCCCTGTACGTCTGCTCTCCTTGGCTATTAAGGAAGACTGAATTGGAAATGAAGGTCTTTTTTTACTACAAAGGTATAAATTTCTATGCCATTTATCCCAGCCATAGATTGCTTGTTGCAATTTTACAAGCCAAACCTCCAAATCTGAAAGGTGAAATACAGTGGTAGTTGATTCCACTAGCCAAACAATTCTTTGTTGTATTTACAAAAAATATGCACAAGCTATTCAAATTTGGTTTTGATAGTTAGTGTGCAAGTTTATCAGAGAGAGAGAGAATATATCCTGTGCTTGTATCCACATACAGTGTTTATTTACACTTTAAAAGCATGTTTACTGACCTTAGCAAACAGTATTTCCAAGAAAGCTGCTCGCAGGCTAAGCAAATAGCGAAGCTATCTGAAGACATTATTTAAGAAGGAAGTGACTCACTGGCTTAATGACAGGGAGGCCCCCACCAGTGAGCTGGGCTGCCAGGGCTGGAAACCTGGGCAGAGCAAGGAGGCCCACTGACATGGAGCAACATGGTGCTGTGCAGTCCGGGGGGAAAATGAGGTTTGCAGCGTCCACGGCTGTGCCATGAACTCTGAGTGCCGTTTTGGAAACCTGAGTTGTGAACAGGCATTTTTGGATGGCATGGAGTTTTTTCCTAGGGGTGGGTTGTTGTTGTAGAGATCCCCCCCTATGCCCATGCCCATCAGCAGCAGTGCCGCAGGGGCCAGAGGCACAGTGTGCAGAGCACAGAGGTGCCCCTACCCCGGGCATGGGCCAAGCACATTGCAACATCTCAGGTTGCAAAAAAAACCATCTTTGTCATGTTTTCCCCTCTCGCCAGGGCCTGTCTAGCCCAATGCTGCGCTGCCCATCCCAGCGTCTCCTGGACAGGATAGTGCGACGCTATGCTGAGGTGCCAGATGCTGGCAGCATCTACATGGACCACCTCACTGACCGAGACAAGCTGCGCCTGTTGTACACCCTGTCAGTGAATTCACACCCCATCTTGCTACAGGTATGTACCACCTTGTCCCAGCTTGAAACACCACCCCCCAGCCCCTTGCAAGTGAACCCTTGCGTGAGATGTGTGCCAGCCCCCAGCTGCAGATGAGTCCCAGCCCTTGTCTTTGGCAAGCTCCCCAGCCTTCAGAAAGTGAGTTTCTCCTATGGGGCTGGATGGCCAAAGACAGGCAAAGACATGGTGCTCTTTGCATTAGCCTGTGAAGTTGTGGAGAGATGTGGATGCCCAGCCCCTTAAATAAGTCAGAACTCAGAGGGGCTACTGCAGTAGCATGCTATGAAAGCCAGGGTTTTACACGTCCCTGATAGTTCACAGTCTTATGTTTGCATTGCTAATATATTACTTAAAATCACAGCCTTTTTATAAAAGAGAAAGAGCATGTTTTAGTGTCGGAGGATCAAGATGTAGTATTGAGGCTGAACATGGACTTGGGGAGCACTGATTTCCAAGGCTTCATGTGCCAGCCCTCCTTTTTTCCATTGGCATGCTGCTAATAACTAGATCTGTGGCAAAGTGCAGCTTTGCAGAGGTGTTTGGTGTAATCCCAAATGCAGCTGAGCTCTGAGTTTGAAGGCAGAGAGCTGTGAGGCCTCGCGCCCCTCCCCTGGTCCCCTGCCAGCATGCCTGGCATGTGGCTCCTCTTTCCTTACGCATGTCTCTGAGAACGTATCCTCACCTTTCCCCACCACCACCCCACTTGTAGTCCTCATTGCTGTTTCCTGCAACCATTTGAGATACCATGAAGAAGAGAGGCAGGGGCAGCATCTGTCTTCTGCCCCAGGCCAACACTGATGAGGGCTCTGCCTGGTTCCAGGGAGGGGGAATAGTGCTCGTGGTCTGGGATTCTCCCACGGGTCATTCAGCCACCCCAGTCACAGCTCTTTGGGGCACAAGGCTGAAGCTCTCAGCATTGTAAAGATATGGGAATGCAGCTTGCAGAGGTGAGAAAAATATGTCGAAAAGAAATGGCTTGACTTTATGTGAGTGCCCAAAATGCCTTCACAACAGAAAGGAGAAGCAACTTTAAACACGAAATTGGATGAGTTCATAGCTCCACCTCTACAGGGCCTAGCGGTGCTGGGGAGACAGACAAGTTATAATGTAAATGGCAGAAAGTTTTGTGTTGGCATGGCTCAGCAGTCAAGCAGTTTGATTTCCACCTGGGATAACTGCGCTGCTCGCATGAGCTGCAGTGATGCAGCAGCCCAGGTGTCACCACTCTAGCAAACACCCAGGAAACACCCAGCACTTCTGTCCATGAGACCACAAAGCCTCTTACAAAACGGCCAGGCAGTTCTTACAAATCAGCTAAAACTGCTTTGGCCCCATCTCACCTCCAGCTATGCACTGCTCATGAGGGACGCATCAAAGGCTCCATAAAGACATCTAAAATTAGCTCTTCTGTGCCTAAAATTTTCATGAAATTGAAACCTATTATTATCTTGGACTTCATGGTTAGTCTTCCTAATGGAATAGGTCTTGAAATACCAGATTCTTCTTCCTTAATTAAAAAAAGGTAAAAAAACAAACAAAAAAAAAAACAACCCCAAAACCAAAAAACCAGCATAGCTACTCCTAGACAGAGCAGTGCCTTCCCCAGCTGCTGAAGCAGGCTGGGGTGAGGAAGGGTGGTGGGCTGCTTTAGAAAGCAAAACACACCACAAGCATTGATGCTTCAAGCCAGCCAGGAGGAAGGTCCTCCGGGTGGGAGGTGAGAGGTGGGAGGTGGGTCCATGGGCAGAGAGCAGTGGCCAGACAACAGGGGCAATCCCACTGTTCCTGCTCTCCCCTGTAGATCTTCCCTGATGTGGAGGGCTGGCCCTTCCCGCGGTACCTGGGCTCCTGTGGGCGGCTGGTGGTCAGTGCCAGCACCCGGCCCCTGCGTGACTTCTACGACGCGGCCCCCGATGTGGCCGCCGACCTAGCCCTCCAGCTTCTCACTGTCCTCCGCTCCATGGGCACCAACGACCTCAACTATTTCTTCTACTTCACCCACGTGGATGCTGGCACCTTCGGCGTGTTTAGCAACGGGCATCTGTTCATTCGCGATGCCAGCACACTGGGGATCATCGACAAGGAGGAAGGTACTCAGCAGGCTCTGTGGCTGCATATCTGTCACGGGAGGGCTCAGCGAGACAGGGGAAACAAATATTTCACCTGCTATGCTCAGTTCTGCTGCTGATTTTTTTTTTAACCAACCAACCATCACTTGCTAAATTAAATAATGGAAAGTTCACAGAGAGATTTACCAGCAGCTAAAGCATCAGCAGCTCCTGCTATCCTGGCTCTGAGTCAGGAAGGCGACAGGCATTTTGTCTTTGCAGTCAGTGGTCTGGTGACTGGCCATGGGTGCTTATGTCCTGTCCGGCTCCCTCTGTGGCTGGCAGCAGCATTCAACATGCACAGTGCTGAACACTCCCATTTGAAGTCTTCCTAATGGGAAGCTTCCTTAAAACATTTGCTACACAAATGTCAATATTTGCAAGTAGAAATTCTGTAGCTTCATTTGTTTTAGTATTGGGTCACATCAGAGTCTTTTTAGGTGCATTTATCTCATTAATGAATAATAATTATGATTACAAAAAATCCCCCTTTTGTCATTTTTATGTAAAATCAAGAGTTACTGTTCACTTTTCACAGACTAAATTGGTCTGCTCCTGGAAGCAGAGCTAGTCAAAGACTATTCCTCCAATAATTTAACAATTTCATTTTGAATGTTCAAATTTTCAAAATGCCTTTGCTCAGGTCACACATTCAGCTGAGTAAATCTCAAATATTCAGAAGGAGCTGTCAGAGAATTTTCCACTGGATTTCTTCTTCTTGTCCCAACAGCTATTACTGTTGACTTTACTGCAGGTAGATGAGTTGTTGTTGCAATTTAATGATTTTGGGTAACATGGAAAAATTACAGGTTTGGCTATTTGTGGTAGTTTTTGTCAGAACTTCACATTTTGGGTTAGTACTCTGGTTCTTCTCACTTTTTTCTGCATCAGTTTGACTTGACAGACTCCTCTTTGCTTCCTCTGTCAGGCGGCTCTGCAGAGCTCTGTCATTCAGAAAAATATACATATTTCAGGAGTGAGAAAATTGGCCCATATACAGCTACAGCACAGAGTACTTTGTGGTGAAAGATATCTGTATCCTTTAAATAGTAACAAACTCCTTGTTCATACAGAGGTACAGACATATGTGGTTATCCAAGATTTTGCTACTGTGCTTCTAACAACTGGTTTAATTGTCCCTAATAGGGAGCCAGCTGATTGACGGCCAGCAGGAGTATAAAGATATATTTAGCTGTTTGACTGTGGACTGCCAGTCGCCATTTGTGTCCTGTAACTCCATCGGAGAGAAGCACAGCCTCATCATGGTGTGTCAAGAGCTTTTGCCTAAGCTCCTGGGGGGGAAATTCCTACAACCCATGCAGGAGAAAATAGACAGCTTCCTGCAGCACTGCGCTGATGGCCTTGCTGATGACCAGAGCATCAACGAGGCGGTTGCAAGGCTGACAGATCTCCTGAAACCTCTGCGGTCTTGCGATTCCCGTTTTGCCTACCGCTACCCTGACTGCAAATACAGTGACAAATACTGATGGCTTCAGAGGATGGGTACTCCGGGAAGGACTGGGGCAGTGTGAGCCCCTTTCCAGCACACAAAGCAAGCAGGAACCAGGGTATCTGGAAAGAGCTGCACCAAATCTGGAGCTTCCTCATCAAGGCAGAGGAGGAGGGAGCAGAGTGCACATGGGATTTATGGTTCATCTCACAGAGATGCATTTGTTACGTGGGATGTTAGGCGTGATGTAAAGCTGATGGATTATTAACATTATAGTGAGTGACAGGGGCTACAGGATTAATAAATCTTATTCAAGTATTTTGGCCTTGGAAGAGTTTTCCATGCCATCCATTAAAAAGAAACTCTACGAAGGCAGCACACTCACAACTAGCTAGATAGAGGAGCTTTATTACCAAGAAAGTCTTTCTGATCAAGATGATATATACATAATGTGGGATGGATGGAAGCATTTAAGACTTTCCTTGTGGGGATTTTTAAATCATAGATAAACTGAATCACCGGATTGGTTCTGTACCATCACCCATCACAGATCACTTCTATAAAATATTTAAATTATATTACTTTTATAGCACACAGAACAGAAAGACGCAATCAACAGCATTAAAAAGCTGATAGGCCTCATGTCTCTTGAGACTTAATTTCTCTAATCCCCAAATATAATTATTTTCAGTCTTTCCCAAGTTGATGGGCAGTAAACAGAGACAGTAAAAGGTTCTTGTTTTAAGATCAGAAAAAAACAATTCTGAGATGTGATTGTCCAGAAGATACTTTCACACTTTTCTCTCTAAAGAAAACCGAAGGAACCATTTGCACAAAACCATTTCAATAGGAAAATTATCTTAAGAGGAGAAACAACACAGGCAGAGGATGAGAGATTAGTTTACCCTGACCCTGATGAGACTTGCTCCACACTCAGTGCTCCAGTGCAGGTGCTGGGGAACCCTGCCAAGAGCTAGGCAGGTCTAAGTCCTGACCAGCAAGAGGTACAGCCATCCTCATCCCTTTTCCTGTCGAAGGAGAAATCAGTAAGCTAGTGTCCAAAGGAGTGACTCAGGCACCTAAAATTTGGAGTGGTGGACTTTTTTTCAGAGCAGTGGCCAGCCCAGGGCTAGACACAGGTGTCTCATTTTGCGAGGGAAGATTTCAAAAGTTGCAGAGTTGCAGAATACAACTTTCTCACCCAGCATCAGTCAGTCCCTGTCCTATGTGCTCCCCGTGAGGCATCGGAGACCCACACCAAACTTTCCCTGATGTCTAGGGGGCTGCCAGACCTCACCTGGGTGTGAGGCTTTCTCCTGGAACCCAGGTGCACAAGAGTCACCAAGCAAAGTTGACTGAGCTGAGTCAGGAACTAAACTTTCTGGATCCCCCGTAAGTATTTTCATCGCAGAAACAGTCTTCCTTTAGCCATGATTCAAAAAAGAAATCAGAAACATCATAAAAGCAGAAAAAGATGTGAGTGCTTTTGCATTGCTGATTGCTGCATGGAGTTACCAGGAGACAAGATTTTGTGTTGGCTGTGGAGGGGCTCTGTGTGCACAGAGCACCTGGCCTGGGCTTAAAGTCAGGTGTTACAGGCAGATCAGGCACCCAAAACCGCACACAGGTCTGACACTGGGAATATCTGACCCAGGACATTTATTCTGCTTTTCCTCCTGGCATGAAGTATCAAGTGCACCTTTCACCTCTCAAGAAGTAGAAACACTGAAAATAATTTCTAGGTAAATTTAGCTCCAGGCCCAGATGGTCTGACAGCAAAAACGTTTAAATATACAGCCTAAGCTACGGCTTCAGCCCTCTTTCTTGATTTCAGTCTATTTCTACATCATGGCTCTCTTCCAGTAAGAAAAACATGTCCTTCACTGAGATCCATAAGGCTGACTAACAATCTGCTTTCAACAGTTTGTCTTGAATCTGTCTGCATCTCCGATCTCTCGGTCTGGGATTTTACCGGATAGCTAGGTGTTATCCCTGAGCCTCTTCCCCTCCAGAGAGACCCACCCTCCGCAGTGCCAGATGCTGGCCAGGGCTGGAGGAGCTCCTGCTTCACCACTACTCTGGCAAGGGTCAGTGGTGAGGTCCTGCCCACCCTGGGCTGGGAGCTGACAGCATCCTCTCAGTGCTGGAAGGACATCTTCTTCATGTAGTTGTAACTATAAACACATACCGCAAAATGCCCAAAAAGTGCTAAGATGAAGAACAGGCCTGGTCCGCCCATGCCCCAGCAGAGATGATTTGCAAGCCATAGGTCTGCGGAGAGGTCTTCACAGCTGCCCCATGACTCAGGCTGGCCTCTGATTCAGTGGTCTCTGCTTGAGCAATGGCTTGACTTGCACTGAAGGGAGGAGCAGCCCTTGCAACAGCGCTCCACGCTGGGTTCAATTCTCTCCTGGACATTTTTATTTTCATCCTGGACATTTTTATTTTCACCATGCACATCTTCCTTTTGGAAATGAGCTGTTCATCTGTTGAACTGTACAGCTCTGTGCAAAATGTCTCCTGGGCAGCAGAGCATCTCTGCTACCAAAACAAGCCCAGGGAAATGCAGAGGGGATGCACGTGCTCAGCACCTTAAAGAACAGCAGGAGCAAGCCCAGAGCTCTCAGGTCTAATCTGGCATCAGGTGAAAGGACTGAGAGGTGTGACATGGGCTTCAGCTGGGCCCTGATAGCTCATGATCCTAAAATGCTGGCTGTAAGAAATGCAAGAGTTGTAGTCTCACTCTGCTGCTGGACTCAGCTGGCAAGACTGCAGCAGAAGTCGTGAGGCACGTTGCATCTATTTTTACACAGCTTGATTCAAAGTTGTTGAAGCTGAGAGGAGTCTCCCCACTGCTTTCAATAGACTTTTATATGATTTTTTAAAAACAATTATTAAAAATAATGGAATCATGGATTTTAAGATTATTAAAGCACTGGGAGCTGTGTTCATTACCAGTTTCTCTTCAGACATCGATTACAAAGGCCAGGCTTATGTAAGATCGTGGTTAGTATGCCAGCAGTAAAATCAGTCCATGGCTCAGACAATAATAATTTTCCTAAACTAAATCTTATTTCCATATATTTCCCTGGCCTTTTTATTTTTATTGCCAATTTTTTTCTCTTAATATTTTCCTTTTTCTTGGCAGTCAGGCCCTGGAATCAGTGCCCACCCTGTCTGCCAACTCCAGTCAAGCCTTGAAATGCTAGTAGGCCAAGCTCCAAAAGGATGTGAAATTAATTTATAAATGGCAATTATTTTAAACCTAATCCTTCCCAAAAGAACTCTCGAGAAATTTTTTCCTCTCTGTGTTCGAGTTATTTCTGATGGTGGCTTTGTGTGAGCCTTTGCAAACTGCTTCTGGTAACAACTTAAAACATTTTCACAGCAGGACAAGGGTGGCAGGAGAAGGCTTCCACCAATCTCACAGTTGTGGCAATAATCACAGTTTCATCCAGTGTAGTTCACCACTCTTCTGTGTATTGTCTTCACTCAGAGCCTTCGCACGAGTCTGTGGTGCTGGCACCTCTGCCCCCTGCCCCACCCAGCCCCTTGGGAAGGAACGGCAGCTGACGATGGCATTAAATTGTATTTTTCATGCACTCCTCCCACCAAAGAGAGATCACCACGGCAGCATTGGCTGAAACAGGTCTTCATCACAGAAAGTGGAAAACCAGTAAAAACTGGTTGCCCTCCATGAGCAATGCACCCAGTGCCTATTCACTCTGCACCCTCGTCTTCATTCAGCCCCCCTCTTCCTCGGACACGGCTGACGCACAGCCTGAGACACAGCCACAGAAGTGGCCTCATGCTCCCAGATGTCACAGACATGTCTGTGCCCCTTGAGTCTGGGCTGTTCTGACACCTCCCGGCACCTCCTGACCAGTGCCCTTGACCAGGACAAGTGCTGTGTATTGCTGGGAAAACCCATGCAAGTATTTGAAGTCAAGGTGTCTGGTAACATGCAGAGCACCCCACAGTCTTCTAGCAGGGGTCACTTTTGTTGCAACCAGTCCTGTGGGGTTGGAGGTCCAGGTTTCCCACTCCATAGCTTTTGTGGGTGATAATTTCTTGCCCCACTTCACACACACACACTCCCACCAGCTTCCCACAAGGGACTAGGCAGAAATTATTGTGGCATTTTGAGAACTTAGGATCAGCACTCAACACCTCCTGTCCACAGGAGTAGCCAGACGAGCATATTTCTTGCAAGCATCTTTCCAGCAAGCTCAGCCAGCAGCAGTTGTTTGCAGGTGCTTTTTATTTGGCTTCTGGTTTTCTGAGACTTTAGGATGCGCTTGGGTCCCATTTGCCAATTACTCGCTACAGCCAGGTGCTCTAGATACTTTATTGCTAATTCTTCCTAAGTAAAACCTCAGCTTCTCCCATGATCACATGAATCTAGAAAGTAGAACATTAACAAAAATATTAAATGTCATGAGATGTTATGAAATCACAAGAGCTGGCACCAGGCTATTCTGAATTGGTTCACCAAGACATATTAATTTGATTAATAGGGGAGTCTAGCTGCTACTGTATCCTCTGTTTCTCTAATTCAGTGCTGAAAGGAGTTTGGTACTCATCCTGAAATTAAAAACAAACAAACATGAATTTCAGGGAAAGGAAAATTAAATTAAAACAGCTACTCGTGGCAAGTCCACTGGGGGCTTGGGGGAGGCATGCACAGTTTATTCCTTAGGGATTAGAAAAAATGGATAATGAAATGAGTTCATCTGCTTTCCTCTGCTTGAGGATGCTTTCAGACACAGGGTGTTGGTAGGTTTTTAGCACTGCTCCTCGAGAAAGACTTGAACAAATGACAGGAGACCCCCAAAGAAGGGTGAGGATGATCCACAGGTCCAGAAAAATGGAGAGGAAAGGACAGGTGGAAAACTAGGGACACCTGGTAAAAATCTTCAAGCAAATAAAAAAAAAAAAAAAAAAAAAAAAACAACCTATAAAAGGATGGGGATAAGCTGTTCTGCATTTCAGTGATGGGCAGGAATGTGAGCTTGCATGGTAGTGGGCTAGATGGCC